CACATACTAAAGCAAGACATAATCTCTACTGGATCTTTGCAAGTGTGCCAGCTATGTAAAGAAAATCAATTTCCAAAAATGTCAGTTTACAATGGAGTGCACGAGGTTCAACATCTCTTGTGAATTTTCAAGTATTACAAAAAGTAATGTTTTCATTCTACCGAGCAGAGCTTTATTTTAATAGAATATTTTTCCATTTCAGATGACAGGATTTCACTTCACTTTCAAATCACAAACTTCACACGCTATATATTTCTATGGACATAGGTGTATTTACCTCCAAAAGTGGAAATATGCATCACAAACGTCCTCATGTGGTATTTTTAAATCTGAATTATTGTACTTACTTAGTAACTGTATGGTCAATCCCATGCATAATTAGTGGTATATGCAGATAGATTAAAGTCATATTTTAAAATACATTATATTTGCTCTTTCCCATAAAAGCAGAACAGAACTTTAAAAAGAGATGCATTACAGTTGGACACTTTAAAGTGCTTGACTGCCTAAATGAATGTTTTTGGTCCAAAGTTCTATCACTGTACCAGATACTATAACTTATCATCACGCCATGATGCTATTTTATCTCACATGGTACAACACCAGCACTGACGGCCTCCTCTGTAAGAATCATCTGGATTGATTTTTAGTGATAAAATGGTCACTTATATAAATTGAGCCATCTTATACTGAATTTGAGCAATTATTAATGGCTATAAAAGTGACAAAGCAACTTAAAAGGCTTAAAGATAAATACAGATGGAAAAATAATAAATCCCTAGATTTTACAAGACATAATGTTACGCTGAGTATTCAAAATAATCTAAAAGGAGTTAAGACATTTGATTCTGGCTCGAATGCTAACAATTTTAGTATTTGTATTTTATAGATAATGTAAGGTTGATAAGATGTTTATTTTCTAAATTAATCTTGACTTCAGATAAATGTATTAAGTAACAGTTATCATATGGGAGACATCAATAAAGCCATTATATTGAAATGTTACACTTGGGTGACTTGATGATTCTTAAGTGATATTTACTGTACTGTATATTGCTAGTTTTACTGGCAGTGTTACTTCATTGTACATTATAGACTGCCATGCAATTTGTACATGGTTATAACATACTGTACATGTCATGGGCATTAAGGATTCACTCACTCTCCTTTAATGATTTATGCATAGAGTATAATATCTTTGACTGATATCAATACAGCTTAGTTTGATAGAGAAGAAACCCAGCTTTTCATTTTGCAATTTTTAATTCACATTCATTAGAATTTTGGAAAACATGGTTAAACCTCAAGGTAAATTATACCTGTATAGTATATGAACAGCTAGTATGATGTGTTGTCAACGATTACCCCTCACATTTACTAATGGTATCAAAAAAAAAAGATTATTTCTTTTGGCACTACGAAATACACACCATTATAAACTGTTCACTTGAAATTGTTAAATTCAGTAAAATAACATCATTTATGTATGTTTGTGTACAAAAAAAGGAAAACCTGAATGAAAAGAGCAGAACAATACAGAATGTCTAAAACTAACAATACAGAATGTCTAAAACTTTTGCACAGCAGCAAAGTTGTTTTCTTTTTTTGATATTTTTAAGTTTACCACATTGCATTATTGTAACACACTTCACTATTTTCTTCACTTCTGCTTTATCATTTGGCTTCTGCAAGACTCCTGCAGCTAGAAGTACTGTTAGCCATTGTCATTATCATTTAGCATTGCACGACAAACTCCCAGTAAATGTAGAATAAAAAGGATGAAAAAATCCTGAACATACAGTATGAAGCTTTGCAATGTATGTCTTAATGCAAGTACAGCAAATAGGCTTAGTGTTACATTGTCAAGTTATGCTTTTTGAATGCATAATGTTTTAATTGATTTTATATGTAATAACTGTTTCTCAAATGTGAGTACCTTGTTTTTTATATTGCAGTTGCAAAATTGTATTTCAGAAAACTATTATGTGCAGACATCATTGTGTGAGGGAGGACTCTTATAGCAGATATCACAGTAGCTAACATAATTAAAAAACATAAACTTTAAATTTCAAGAGTGAAGTAGTGTCTATTTGTCAGATGTGATGGAAAAGTACACCTTATGATTCCTGTGAAAGTCTGATCAACTCACCTGGGAGGAATTTGGGCCCACTCTTCTTGACAATACTGCTTCTGAGATGTTGGAGGGCTTACCTGTATGCTTACTGTAGTTCTTTTTAGTTCCTACCGCAGCATTTCTATAGGGTTTAGGTCAGGACTTTGATTTGGCCATTCCAAAATCCCAAATTTCTTTGTTTTTAAGCTATTCTGTCATAGATTTGCTTGTGAGTTTTGGATCATTGTCCTGTTGCATGATCCACTTTCAATTCAGGTTTAGCTGTCAGACAGATGGCGCTTAATAGTTGATATAAGGTTCTTCTGGTCAAAGGCAGTGTTTGATTTCTGCCAAACATGATGTTTCGCATTATGCCCAAACAGCTCCACTTTTGACTCATCTGTTCAGAGCAGATTTATTCAAGTCTTGTTTTTCATTCTCAAGTGCTGCTTTGCAGGTAAAAGCAATGCAGCAATGTTCGTCTTGGAGAACAGGAGTTTCCTCCTGTTCATCCTTCAATGAAAGCCACTCTTATTCAATCTTTTCCTGATGGTGGACTCATGCACTCTGACATACTGTATACTACAGAGGAAGAGGCCTGTAGATCCAGGGACATAACCTTGGGCTGCTTTGAGACTTCTAGCTGCTCCTAGCTAGATTGGCCCCGGTCTTGAATTTTCTCCATTTACAGTATATATGATCTTTCTTAATGTGGAATGATGGACGTCATAATATTTGGAAATGGTTTTGTAACCCTTCCCAGACTGATAAGCAACAATTCTGTCTCAGATTTCTTTTGATCTGGGCATAATCTTTTACCACAAACCTGAGTTCTTGAGACCAAACTTACCAAACGTACAAAGTTTCTGATTTTATATAGGTGGAAACCACTTCCTGATGATCAACTAATCATTGGCACATGTTTAGGTTCCCCTGATTTTACTTATCTTCTTAACTGAGATGGTAAAACTCAGGGTGAACTTACTTTTTCCACACAAAGATGTTGAATACGGGCTAATTAAAAAAATATATAATGACAAAGTTAAACTTGTGTGTATTATATGTCAAATTAGTTTAATTTTATCTACTTTTAGGACAAGGTGAGGACTACAGTAGCTTAAGGTCAAATATATCTAAATATGTTCAGGTGGGTAGCTGGGTCAGCATGCGTAGGCTGCAAAGGAACAAGTAATAGGTTTATTCCATGCTGAAAAAAAGAAGAAAGAGAACACAACGTTTCGGCCGTGGAGCCTTTTTCAGGTGTGAGAGAGACAGGGCAGTAGGCAAAGGTAAAGTACGG